ACAAGGCTAGCATTAATCCAAAAAACACAAAATAATAAATGCTGGAGAGGTTGTGGAGAGACTGGAACACTTATACACTGTTGGTGGGAATGTAACATGGTACAACCACTTTGGAAATCGATTTGGCGCTTCCTTAAGAAGCTAGAAATAGAAGTACCATACGATCCAGCTTTCCGCTACTTGGAATATATCCTAGAGAAATAAGCGCCGTCACACGAATAGATACATGCACACCCATGTTCACTGCAGCATTGTCACAATAGCAAAAAGATGGAAACAACCTAGGTGCCCACCAACGGATGAATGGATAAACAAATTATGGTATATCCACACAATGGAATACTATGCAACGATAAAGAACAACCATGAAGCCGTGAAACATAACATGGAGGAAGCCAGAGGGCATTATGCTGAGTGAATTTAGTCAGTCACAGAAGGACAAATATTGTTTAAGACCAGTACTATAAGAACTCAAGAAAAGGTTTAAACACAGAAGAAAACATTCTTTGATGGTTATGGGGGTGGGGAGGGAAGGTGAGGGTTATTTACTAACTAGATAGCAGGTAAGAATTATCTTAGGTGAAGGGAAGGACAGCACACACTACAGGGGAAGTCAGCAAAACTGGACTAAACCAAAGCTAAAAAGTTTCCTGAATACAATCAAACACTTTGAGGGACAGTGTAGCAGGGGTAGGGGTCTGGGGACCATGATTTCAGGGGACATCTAGGTCAACTGGCATAGCAAAGCTTATTAAGAAAATGTTCTGCATCCTACTTTGGTGAGTGGCTTCTGGGGTCTTAAAACCTTGCAAGTGGCCATCTAAGATACTTCAATTGGTCCCAACCACCTGGAGTAAAGGAGAATGAAGAACAGCAAAGACACAAGGAAAGTATTAGCCCAAGAGACAGAAAGGGCCATATAAACTAGAGACTTCATCAGCCTGAGACCAGAATTAGATGGTGCCCGGCTACCACCAATGACCACTCTGACAGGGAACACAACAGAGAGTCCTGGACGGAGCAGGAGAAAGGTGGGGTGCAGAACTCAAATTCTAGTAAGAAAGCCAGACTTAATGGTCTGACTGAGACTGGAGGAACCCCGGAAAGCATGGCCCCTGGATTCTCTATCAGCCCAGAACGAAAACAATTTCTGAGGCCAACTCTTCAGACAGTGATTGGACTGGACTGTGGGACATAAAGTGAGCCTCGTGAGGAATGTGCCTCTTAGCTCAAGTAGATACAAGAGACTAACTGGGCAGCTTCTGTCCAGAGGTGAGATGGGAAGGCAGAGAGGGTTAGGAGCTGCTTGAATGGACATGGGGAATCAGGGGTGGAAAGGAGGAGTGTGCTGTCACAGTATGGGGAGAGCAATTAGTCATATAACAATGTATGTATAAATTTTTGTATGTGAAAAATTAAAAAAATTTAAAAAAATCAAAAGACGCATTGCATTGGACAAATCTGCTGCAAAAGTGATAAAAAGTGAAGATGTCATTTTAAGGACTAAGGTGCGCCTCACCTAAACCATGGTGTTTTGGATCACCTCTTGTGCACGTGAAAGCTGGGCAATGAATAAGGAAGATCAAAGAAGAATCGGTGCCTTTGAATTATGGTGTTAGCGGAGAATACTGAATATACCATGGACTGCCAAAAGAACAAACAAATCTGTCTTGGAAGAAGTACAGCCATAATGCTCCTCAGAAGGAAGGACGACGAGACTTCGTCTCACACAGTTTAGATGTGTTATCAGGAGGGATCAGTCCCTGGAGAAGGACATCATGCTTGGTAAAATAGAGGGTCAGCAAAAAAGAGGAAGACCCTTAAGGAGATGGATTGACACAGTGGCTGCCAGCATTGGGCTCAAACATAACAACGATTGTGTGGATGTTGCAGGACCAGGCAATGTTTCATTCTGTTGTGCATGAGTTGGAAATGACTTGATGGCACCTAACAACAACACAATACATAGCAGGAGACCAGTATGAAAATCCCTCAGTCGACCCCCTACTTCTTCCTTACAGACGCTATGATAATTACTCACCTTCAATTTGCATAATTCTTACATCCTTTCATCTTAAGTAAAGAGGTAAGAGTAATTTAGGTCTCTCAACCATGAGCCCTTAAAAGCAGAGATCATATTCTCTTCTTTTTCACATTCTTAGCACCTAGTATAGTGCCTGGCACACAGGGAGTCCCTTAATAAATTATTGTTGAACGTATGGTGAATTAATATTAACTACTTACGATATAAGTCAATTTTTAGTTTATCCTTCATGGTGATGCTTCCAGAACGTACTATCTTCCTGACAGTAGAAGCATATTCCTAAAAAGGAGGCAAATAAAATGAGAAGGATGTATTACCTGCTTGGCAGGTAACAGAATAGATATGTCAGAGAAAGCCCTCCCTTAAATTAAACCTTAAACCTGAGTCTAATCCCACTGTTGTCTTTTAGTATCTACAGCTAATGGCTTCTCCAGGCTCTACATTCCTGCCTCTCATTGCTGCCCTTCAGTTGTAGCTGCTAAGGAAAGGTGTAGCTGCAGTGTACCGGGTGTACTGATTAATCCTAACTGAGGAAACACGTTTCTGAACACCATTACTAATATAGCTTTCTTAGATTAATGCTTGAATATAGGCATCAGTGGGTGAAGTGACCCTAACAAAACATTGAGGTGAGCTTCAAAAGCTGTGCATGTTGATGAATTTGCAGGAGACACAGTGCTGGTCCCTCTCACTGCCACTTTTGAGGTGATAGAAAGGATTCTGGAAGAGTCTTATCTTGGTTGTCCAGTGATAAGTGACTGAATTCATCGTTGTCACAGTTATTTGCCAAGGAGTCAAGCCACAAGACAGGTGGTATGTACAGGACAAAAGAAGTGCTGCTAAAAGAGTACGCACTAGGATAGGACTACTTAATAGACCATGATTCCTCGGAAACAAATGTTCTGTGTTTGATAGCCTACCTTAAATAGAAATGTTACAGAATCCAAGCAGAACTAATATTTATGCGCTGAAAATATTTAGTTGGAGACTCAAGGGTTTCTTACCGGAGGCAGACGCAATATAAACTGGTTCTCAACTTCGATAGGCGGTTCATTCTGGCTTTTACTCATTTCTTGATTTTGAGTTCATGAAAACAAAAACAAAAGCAACTGAAAGTCACTAAAAACTTCTCTTGCTCCCTCTGCTGACCACTGCTGGTGAAAACCAAACCCGCTGCCATCGAGCAGATTCGACTCATAGCGTCCCTATAGGACAGAGCAGAACTGCTCCAAGGGGTTTCCAAGCCTGTAAATCTTTACGGAAGCAGACTGCCACATCTTTATCCCACCGAGCGGCTGGTGGGTTCTAACCGCCGACAACTGTGCCACCAAGGCTCCTTCCACTGTTAGTAGTACTAGTTAAATTATACAAGACCCTGCCCAGTATCCTTACTGGAATTATCTCTGTACAGATCGTATACATCTTATTTGACATAACTTGATTATTCCTAAAAGTCACCTTGTCTCCCCTCCAACACGTGAAGATTTTTCCAAAGTTAATCCAAGTTACATGATAATAATTCTTTTTGCATTCAATCATGTATATCAAATGAAGTAAGAGCTGTCATGAAACATGATTTAGTTTTCTTAATGATATCTTAGACTCTCAGATAAAGGACTACAATTCAACACAAGGGGTGGCTACTTAAGCAAACTACATGGCCTCCGCAGGGATGAATGCTAACCAAAGACAGAAATCACTTGCAGAAATGTTCTGTCCTGATTTGAAGCAAACAAGAGCTTAATTTTCAATATTTCAGTCACGGTAATGGATTGGCAGGAATTAAGCAGTCCATGGGTGAGCCAGCATCAAGAACTCTAAGCTACCTTGGGGAAAAGTTTGGAGTCCAGTTCTTATGGTTAGACTATCTATTTGAATACACATAACTTCATGCAACAGACTTCATTTATTCTTGAAGGGGTGATATAAACAGAAATTAAAATCTGATTTGATTTATTCATTACTAACATTTACTGCACGCATTCTATGTGCCAGGCACTATGTTGCCTGTGTTAGGTCTATTATTTCATTCAATCCTCACAACCACCACTTATTTTTAAATACCCCTAAAAGCTATGTAAAGGAATCTTAAAATAGATCTTTATATATATATATATATTTTTAAAAAGCCTTCTCTAAATTGAATCATCTTCTCCAACTTAATCTTTATATTTAAATCTTATTTTCTATCTATGTGGGATGTATCTGTAGTGTCTTGCATTTTGGACTTTAGGGTCCACACCTCTTCAGATGAAGATTTTTCTCAAAGGTGGAAAGAAAGAAACGTACATATATGAAATCTGACAAAGTTTTCTTAGGACACAATGCTACACACCAAATTACGAGATCTTATACCTTAAGTTAGATTAAAAGTTCCAGTTAATGCACAGTTCCTAATACTCTGCAAACGATTAACTGGGCTCTGAGGCTTGAGGTCTGAACTTGAATCTCACTTAAAACCACCAAAGCCTTTCTTTCTTTTTTTTTTAAAACACATTCAAGTGGGTCTGGGACCACATTAGGGTGAAATTATTCACCAGTTATAATTTCAGTCCCTTGGTATGGCTTCAGAAACTTTCAGAAGGGCACAGAAGGTACAGAGAGGTCAGTAGTTTGCAGTAGCCTTTTCCCACGGAAAAAGCAGACACTCAGGACGAGAGAAAGGAGAATCACAAACACATTGTTTGTGACAGTCATTTTTTTCCTCTTTGCTTCATAGTTATATAAATACCTACATACAATTATATAGAAATATAAAAACCAAATACAAATGTAAGAAAAAAATTAATTAAAATAAGTAAAATAGAAACCCTGGGGCTGGGCACATTGCCTAAAGGAACAAAGAGAATCAGACACTTAAGGCTGGGAGCTGAAACACGGATTTATTTGAAGAACTAGATGCTAAGCAAAACTTTATCAGTTCAGTAGGAACTTTCAGATTTCTCAGCAGAACTAAGACTAGGGCATTTTGTTCATTTCAATGCCTTTTTGGCAATTCCTCTCTTATGAAAGAAAGAATTAAGAAATGAAACTATTTCATAGTAGCTGCTTGTATACCTCCTTAATAAAAGGTCTGGTGGGCGAGCAGGTGGACAGCCCTGGTTGAAATGAGTTTTATTTCTTTTTTAAACGTGTTACCTGCCTTTACCCAAAGACTGGTTGTATCGGACTTGCTTTACAGAAAAGGCATCAACTTTTTTCCAGCAAGCATTTTTTGACCCCTAGTTAAATTAGCAGGACCGCCCTCCTCATTTGCCCCCAGCTCCATCACTCTTCAGCCGAATTATACTAATGAACTGGAGGGTGCTCAGCAGCCTGCTCCAGGCAGCGCAAATCTAAGTCTCTATATTCTCAAGTTCACAGCCCCTGGCTGCGGTTTGAAGGAAATTAACTACTCCATTCTTTCCCTGGGGCACTAAACTTTCAAGGCAAGAGTCCAGCTCCTAGGCTTTGATCTTATTTCCCTTGAAATCCTCCCGAAGGGCCAAAAGACCCTGGCCTTTGTGCACTGCCTCCTAGGCGGTCTGGAGAGAGAAGCGCAGCTCGCTAGCCAGCCACCCAACGCGGCCCGGGTCCCCAGATCCCGCCGGACCTACTGACTCACCCGCTGCTCCGCTAACTCGCGCCAGGTTTGGAAAGGGGGTGCGGACCGGAGCCCGCTTCTCTGCCCGGTAGGTTCTTGGAAAGGAGTGACTGAGGTCAGCGGCGAGGGAGCGAAGCGCGAACTACGAGCGGACTGCACTGGGCGACAGGTAAGAGCCGCGGCGCTCG